GTTAAAAGTGTATTCCTTGTTAGAGAAAAAAAAAACTGCAAGCCATATATAATCCCAAATTCTACCTATACTGTAACATGTACAGTTACCCCTATAGGAGCCCTTTTAACAAAACAATGTATGTTAACTTACTCAATGATTTGTAGAATGTATCTATTTCGGTCACTGTAATAAAACAAGTTATATATATATACATATTAAAAAATCCAAATGTAAATAATTATTTCCACACATAAAAGAACTCATTGCACATGATGTGATATGTAAAGAAAATTGCTGAAAATCTCTTCAGTCTTTGGGATGATCAAAGTATAAGTAACCAAAACTTACAAATACTGATTGAATTTTCATAAAAGAAGGTTTTTGATGGGAGGAATTTTGATGAGAAGGAATTCTTTTCCTGCTCACCCTCATTAACCATGGCTTTTATAGGCTCAACCCCTTCCCCAGCAAGCCACAGGTATTTTTTTTTAGATCTAGCAAAATGTTTTAATAAGGTTATCTTCCTCTGTATTACAGTACGAATAAAGTTTCCAGTAACTTACACATAAAACATAATCTGTTCTTATTGAAGTTTATAGTGCTTCAGAAGTTTCATGCTATTTAAACTCCAAAATAAATCAGAATATGGATCTGATCCAATCATGTTAAAGTTTAATAAAAGAGAAATTCCTGTGTTTACTGTGAAAATATTTAGTTACCTTCTCTTCTGATAATTCAAGCCAATTTTTCTTCCCCTCCTCCCCCCCCCCAAAAAAAAAAAAAAATATAAAAAAAGAAGTCACCTTGGCACTACAAGCCTTTAATTATACATAGCAAAGAAAGAAAACAGCTCCTTGTGTATGGAAACATAGATAGTATCTGAAGTTCCAGCCCCTTTCTAGCTGCTAACCATCACATAACATATGCCATTTGGCAATTTGTCTCCTAGGATATTCACAAATTTCTTTCCAGTGCTCTCCACCGGTTCCTTCTGCTGAAGATCCCAAGGTTAACCGGCCAATGACCTCATTCCTCGACCCCCTATCTGAATCTAACACCAAAAATTCAATGCTGATATCATCAAGACCCTCACAAGGAATGTCAAAGACAAACAATTCATTAAACACTGCATTGGGGGTGCATTTCTTCACATGGGTTTTCTTCTTAGAAATTCTCTTCTTATCATGATACAGGTTCACTTTGACATAAGGGTCTGCAATGAAAAGAAAGGGCACAGATCAACTATTGAACAATGTTTAGAAATACCTTGATCTAGTTAATGGTGAATGTAATAAATTAACAATATTAACAGTAGTAATATATCTGAATGAAAAGATATTTCAATTTAATAAAGATGAGTCACCTCATCCTAAAGATGTAACCAAGATAAGTCAGCAAAGTTTAGAAGGTGATTCATCTGATCAAATACGGGTGTCTCCTTCATGAGAAAAAATCCTGCCCCATAGTCCATTAACCATAATAATGCAAAGTTATAAAAGTGGTCTGAAAGAACACAAAGTTCTAGTGGCCATTGACAAATGTGCATCATTGCATACTTATATGTAATAAGTGTAGTCTCAGCTTGTGCTGAGAGAATAGATAAATGGATGTGATTAATTTCTGTTGTGGTTCTACCAAAGTCAATTAACTTGATTAAACTTGCTCTCAACAATTTTTATTGAACAAATTCAACACTGATCTTTAAATATAAGGTTATATTTTTTCTTAGGATATGTAGCAGACTTTATGTCTATACTGTAGTGCTATGGAAGAAGGGAAGGGAAAATATGAATATTTTTAGCTGTCAGCTCACTTTGAGTGTTTGCATTCCTCATAATTATTGAACTGTTGTAAGATTCCTTTATTATTGTCTTTAATAGTGACTACATTTCTTCCCTCAGATGAATTACAGAGAATGCTTTAAAAGTCATCACTTTCAAGATCCTTGATGTTTAGTGCAAATGCAGGACTGTTTCCAACTTCTTATGGTGCAAAAATACAGTAAAAAAAATAATAACTTCTACTGAATCCAGACAAATGAGAGTCTATATAAACAATCTGCTAATAAACAACAATAATAGTTGAACACTTTTTTTAAACCAAACAATTTTTAGAAATGTTATGGGAAAGTTTGAAAGGCTGAAATGGTCAGATAATGGAAAGGTTTTTGTTTCCTGGAACTGACAATAGTTTAACAGGAGTAATGTGTGATATAATACCTCTTTACTTTCATACTCTATTACCATAATAAACATTTTAAAAATAGGAATTAATGTAATTAAAGTGTTCCTTGGCTTTGGAATGAGTGTGTGGACACAAGCATTAAAAATATCAAAATCAATACCCATCAGTGGACTCATTCTGTTGTTCATTTCCGTCCAAAGGATATTTTCTGACTGTTGCCTCTGACCAGATTCTAGATAAGGCTACTATGTTCCCCTTGGTCATATTAGATCTGTTAGGAACCAAGGAGGCTGTGGCAGCAGAACAGCTTCTGAGTAAAAAAACCTCGTATATTCCTAAGGAGCCTGGCTTATGCAAATGTGTAGTTTACCTCTTAGAAACATCATCTTACCCTCTTCCTTTTCCAAGATTTATGCTGAACAGAGGGGACAGCCACACAGGAAGTAAGGACTATTGTAAGTACAGTGTGTTACTGACACTCAAAAATCTACTGAACCTGGCTTTACTCATAAAAGGTACAGTAAACAACTGTGTAGTTTGGATGTGCTATTGGATCCAAGTGACTGCAGAGCCTGGTAGGGCTTTTTTTTTCAAAGTCTTTTCCCACCTGGGTGAACCTCAGACAGACTCAAGATCAGCTTGTTGCCATGCTGTCTTCATGAAACCCCCACTCTCTGCTGTGACTTTGGGGTTGCTTATTAAATGTGTGTATGCTCTGTTTTAGTGGAGTAAACTGTTGAGCTCTGTATACTTCTTTTCTTCTCATGATATGTGAATGTGATCAGAAGGAGAATTTCAAAGGAACTTCGCCGTGTAAAAGCATGTTATGTGAGTTAACCAGTAATTATGATTTGTGGTTCCCAAACTACTTCCTTTTTTTCTTCTTTCAAAAATACCTTATGAGATAAAAGAGTATCAGCTCTATACAGAATCAACAGCAGTTGTGCTGCTATTTGTATAGTTCTTTTTTTGGTGTACTGTTCTTTGTGTGGTTGTCTTATCCTTAACATATTGTACATAAAATTTTATTCTGTTACTATGTTATCTAGCATTCATGTGCACCTAAGTGCAATCTAGTACTGGCTTCAGAAGACATTCCACTGACTGCAAAATGGCACAAGCCCAGGAGAATGGAATGCAAACCCAGTTCCTTCTCAGTGCACCCCAAGTACAGTTCATGATAAAACAAAGTTGTTATTCTGTAACCTGCTTCCAGCACTGGCATAGTTATGTTTTCACCTTGTTAAATAAATAATAGTGCTCAGTGGGCCAAATTCAATACAGATGTAACTGGTTGCTTTTCTTGGTGCTAAAATGAAATTAAGCATAGAATGATCTCACTCAATTCTTCTCCTCTATAAATGCACTGTTTATTGTTATCAATAAAACGTCTAAGTATCTGCAGTCAACTCCCATGCTTATGGCAGATGGGTTCTATTCAAGACAACCACAAAACTTATTGGTTTCCATTGCAAACTAATGTCTTGTTTTGTTATGTTTTGTTTTGTTTTGTTTTGTTTTGTTTTGTTTTGTTTTGTTTTGTTTTGTTTTGTTTTGTTTTGTTTTGTTTAACGTGATCAAAAACCCTATTTGTAAAATACATACCTTGGAAAATAAAACATTGACCTAGATATGAATGAAGTGAATAGGCTGCAAATAATAGAGACACCATTTCTGCATCTATGGGATATTTTTAGTCTTTGAAATGCCATAGTTCAACTCTCTTCTGTCTGTGTTTTACATTCTTAGAGTATATTCATTAATGAAACCATTACCTGATAATCCTGACACATCAGATTTAGGTAGATGCCTGGCTTTTAAAACAACCACAGTGAGTGTGTTTGTTGTAGATTGATAACAGAGAGAGATCAGTAATTCTCCACGTCCAGATGATTTCTGAGAAAATTAAAGAAAAAAGGAAATAATACTATTTATAAGCAATTATATTGACCAAGCTTTAAACCAGAATTAAGAAGATTTACAAAATGTTATATAACTATACACTCTGAAATGGTGTAAAAGGATTTAACATATGGAGCTATGCTGCTTTACATAGTTGATATAATTATCCTCTACTGTAGTTATATAACTCTTTTTATGATTGGTTATTAGACTAAACAAAAGTACATAATAAATAGATGAAAGTATAGGTTGACATGACATCGTCAGCTCTGAGATTAAAATGATATCTTACATCCTGAGGAAAACAAACAAACAAACAAACAAACAAAAAACCAAAAAACACTAAACCAAAACCATAACAAACTCAGTGAATGAAAAAGGTCTTAAGCAAAACAGAATCCTGTAAAGTTATACTGAAAATAAAATCTAATAAAGGTAAATGAAAATTAAAAAAAAATCAGTAAAATGGTTTTGTTTTGTTTTGTTTTGTTTTAAAGAGAATTAAAGATCAATACAGTTAATGAAATCTCATCCCTGACACTTTGGAAGTTAGTATAATATACATGAAATACAGATGAGATCAAAAACATTATTAAATTTGAATTTGCAGGAGTAGTTTACTTCACACAAAGGTGGAAGGCAGGGAAACAAGGAAAAATAATACCTTATATACCAGAAAACCCTATAAGTTATCAACAAAATTATCAGTGACATAGTTATAGTTGTTATAATATTGTGATAGAATTGCAAAATAATGGTATTAGTTATAAGTATGTTGTCTGGCAGATATTTGTGTGATTTGGCAGCTCTTTGAAAAGAATCAGACTGGAATCAGTACACATTGCACTTCCTTGGTGATGATTAAAAGATCTATGTGATGCATGTGCATTTCTGTGGTTTGGCTGGCATGGTTGTAAATAGTCTTTACATTCTGAAACGAAACAGCATGGTATAAAATATTTTTATACAAGGGACATCAGTGTATTTTGCTGTTCAATTCAGTAAATCTTTGACTTCTCCCTCATGTCTTACTATTCCAGTGAGTATCCTTGTGGTACCTTTCCTAGCAGTAACCTGTGTCACAGTTCTTGAGAGAGAAGGCAGTAACAGCAACTGACGTGCAAGAACATACTACTCCATCAACAACCTGCATCTCTAACAGGTTACAATTCCTTAATTAAAGTCTATCTGCATTCTTTAAGAATCTGCTGTAAAAACTATGTAGTTGAAGTGAAAGTTTTACACTGATTTCAAAAATCTTTAATTAATGATTTATAATAGAAAAGGGGAGGAAGGAAAGGGGGAATAATGTATAAATCTTTGCATTTTTTCCTTTTAAAGCAAATGAATGTGGATTGAGGCCTCTGACCTAATGTGAATGTATCCACTCAAACCTGCTGGACCAGCTGTATAAGCAAGTGGAGTTTTGGACATCAGCAATTTCCTGCGACATACTCGTTGTAATATTATTTTATTCAGCATGCTCGTTGTAATATTATTTTATTATATTTGTGTAACTGCTTCTTCATACTGCCATTATGGAAGAATCTCAATGACTTGCATGATGGGCTTGTTCCCTTTTCTTTACAAGATGGCAGCAGAGTTACACAAAACAATAATAGCTAATATTAGCACAACAGTTTTAAAGTTTAAATAAAAATATGTTACCCTAACATTTCTTTTGATGATCTCTCTGTCCATCAGCAACCTTCCTTCTGATAGTTCAATTCCTGCGAGGGGAATGAGGACTTCTCCAATGACATCATCTCTGGAAAATCTGTCAAAGCTCAAGATCATGAAGTGAAGTGTCAAGTCTTGAATTTGGCTATAAGGGATCCCATAAAAAGTGAAAGTCTCATCAAAAGCTGGATCTAAGGTTTTTCTCAGCACTCTGGTTTTCACCTTGTGCTTTTTCTCAGGCAGGATTGTCATTTTGATGTAGGGATCAGAAGTCATTGACTGTTCATCCATTGCTGGCAACCCACGTGCTTCTTTGATGTTCACTACAAATGACTTTTTCTCAAAGTTGTACTCTAAGGAGAAGAAGAGAGTTCCTAGCTTGTCTTGTTTATCTTCACATGACAGGGAAGTGATGGATTTTAAACTATCAGGGGATACTGAATCTTTCTTCTTTTCTGCAAAGTGCTTAGGAGACAAATTCTCAAGACCTGGAGAGCTCTGGATTTTAGGGGTTGTTTTGGGGAAGTTGCCATTTAGATCTCTCTTCTCCAGGTCAAGATGGAGAGAACTCTTCGGCATCGCTGATTTGTTCTTTGCTTCACTTTTGTCATCTGCTCCAAATTTCTTCTTACTGTTGAGATTCTCAGGGTAAATATCAACCCCCTTCAGAACATGGACAAACTTATATGGAGGGGTCTTATTGGATTTGGAAGATTTACGTTGGCAGCAGATCCAAGCAAAAAGGGACACAGAGAAGACAAGGCCAAATGCACTAAAGATCCCAACCACTGTAGGAATTTCATCTGCAAATCAAATAAATAGCAACAAGCACATAAACAGCAATGTCTTGGACTCTGTGTGATATTTAGTAAAGTAATAATTTATTAAAACAAACTGATATGAGATGGTAATAGCAGCAGAATTGACAGACAATGCTTTGCATTGTATATATCGCTCGCCACCTGCAGGCATGAATGTGTAGTCCTATACTTAGGCATGCTTGTGATGTTAGTGTTTTTCCATACACAGAGTGTTGAGGAGCAAAATACTGTTCCCTAATAGTAATCACCATCAGTAATTGCTCGACTATCTCATCCTTCTGTCTGTAGTTTCTGAGTTTATATGTCTTTGAGTGATACCAGCTCTCAAAAGGTTTCATCTTTGAGTTTATGTGGCTTTGTTAGTTAGATAAAACAGATTCTGAAATACACATTTATTATAGATACATCATCTGCTTTTCATACTGTTTCCTAGAATACTTTGTGTGTGCAATTAACTCATTTTTTATGGTCTGATCCTATAATTGCCTGGAGGTATCTCTTGAAAGAACTGAGTTTAATTGGAGATTATAACACTCAACAGTTTCAATGGGATTTTCAATACTGTGCAGGAGGAAGTCTATCAAGAAAAATTAAGATAATTATATACCAAGTGTCTTCCAGATGGATGTGACATGGGCAGTCACATGTGAGTCTAAAGCTAAAAAAACTATTAAGTATATCATCCATAACCACTAAGCTTCGTGTTTAAGACACTATGAATCAAAGGCATAGAGAGTTTACAGTAAGGATCACTACTTTTTTGGAGTATACAAGAAAAAAACATTAATACATAATCCTCTTTTACCTCAAGAGGAATCTTAAACTTAATAAAGGGAAAAAATACAAGTGCTACAATCTGAGTTGTCATGTGGATGCATTAGTTACATGTGGAGTATCATTAGCCCTTCAAAGCATATATTGAAAGGTAAATGAGCACAACTAATTGAAAATCCATTTTTGCCCATAAGTAACATTACTAAGTGAATTTAAACCTTCCACCATGTAAAAATATGAGCTTAATCTCTATTCTCTGAGGCAGTGGAAGATCCGTAGTATATTATCTGAATGACATTGTTTATGCATAATGGCAATTGTGTAACAGTACCGTTTCTCTCACAAATGATTATCAGACTGTTCTGGATGAGAAAAGGAAAACTATCCCCCTTTAAATGTTACTAAATTAGCTTAATCCAAGTAAAAAGATGGTCAAATAGATATTCTGCCACTAGATCTTTGCTTTTTAGTGAGATGATTAAAAAAATCCATGCCAATAGTATCAGAGCAAAGTAGGACATAATGTTCCAGCACATAAAGGATCGGGCCTGGCTGTTAATTTCTTCCACAGTATTCATGTCACTTTCCCTTTGACTACAACCTGTATCAGTCTGCATACTTGATTTTAAGAACTTAATGAAATGGTTGAAAATGATATGCATAACCAAAAAGAATCTTTTCTAAATTAAACACGTGGCTCTGAGTTTCCCCAGGCTGCAGAAATTTAAATATATGTGGTATAGAGGTAGAAAGCAAAAGATAGTTGAAAGCTAATCAGAATGCTTTAATAGCTTTAAAGAATAATTTGCACATTTACAATACTTTTTCGTGAGTTGACAGACTTTTTATAGTAATGGGTATTACATTTTAGTTCTACAGCTACTGAAAGCAATCAATTCGGTGTTTAGAACATTAATTATCTTTCTTAAATAAGTAATTAGAAAAGCATTATGTCACAAGAGTGGTTAGGAACATCTAGTGGGTGAAGCAGGAAATAAGATGAAATGGTAAATAAAGTGGTTTCATATTTACAACTAATTATGTTACAACCTGAACTTCTTCCTGTTGTCGTAATGTAAATCAGTGGGTTAACACTCAAGTCAGTGTATTAATAGGAAGCCTCACCTATTGATTCTGGGAGAGTTATTATTTCAGTTACATTATATAAATCTGGAGTCACTTCGCTTAAGTCAGTGGAATGATCCTTGAATTAAACCACTGTTAAAGCAAATAGAATCTAGGCTGGAGTCAATATTTGTAAAGCAGAGTTAAGAAACATTCTTACTTACTGCCTTTGAAGCTATTTATGCATCTATTTTATAAGTGCACACATACAAACGTTTCTGAAACTTCTGGTATCCCAATTTATCACCCTACACCCAGTGCATAGAAACGACAGAACTGAAAAGTTCCTTGTTATCATTGCTATCCTCAATGAACCCAGACTGATCAAGATGCAGCTGTTTTATTAAAAGCACTGAGATCCTGTATTTTCATCTCCTTATCAATGTCCTTCACAAGACTACCTTTCACTTGAACTAACATTTGACAAGTCTCTCTCTACAAGAAGAAAAAGAATGACAATTATTCCAAAAATGTCTTGAACAAAGATTTTCTCTGTAACACAGGATGCATTTACACCATTTAACTTTGAAACCATGTTACTTTAACCGAAACAGAGAAAACAACCCCAAAACCCTCTCATCCAAAAACGCACGTACACAAACATCTTCACCTCTCACGGTGCTTTGCTGTGGGCAGGGGGGGGTGGACGGGTAGGGAGGGAAGGGGCAAAGGGAAAGAAAACAAATTCACACAACTTCTGAAATCGAGGAGAACTGGTTTGAAATCAGCATCCACCCAACGAGCTGCGTGCTGGCAAGTGCTGGGTGGCTCAGCAGAGGCTGCCTGCGTGCGCCTCTCCCGGGGAGGGGAGCGGACCCCCGGCCCCGCGGGAGGGCAGTTGGGGCCGGGACAAGCTTACCGAACTCCTGCCGGCTGGCCGCGATCGGAGC